CAGAGATCTGCCTGCCTCTGCCTCCCGAGTGCTGGGATCAAAGGCATGCACCACCACTCCTGGCTCTGTCCTCTTTTTTAAAGACTTTTTGAGACAGGGTGTCACTGTATATCTCAGGCTGGCTGTAAACTCACTTTGTAGCCCAGGCTGGCCCCCAATTGTGCTCTTCCTGCCTCTGGTCTCGAATCCTGGGGTTGTAGGCATGTGCCACCATGCCTAACTTTTTTTATTTTTTATTACTTGGTGTTGGGAACTGAACCGGGGCATAACGCATGCCAAGCAAGCACTGTGCCATGGAGCTGCAGCCCCACCCAGCCTTAGATTTTCAGGAAAGCAGAATTCTGTCTGGAGGAGGGCGGACCACTCCTGATGCAACATCTGCCTTGTCCCATTATTCTGGTCATACTAGATCTTTCCATCTGAGAACTGGGAGGGTGCTGATGTCCACTTGGTCCCCCTGTGGTGAGGTGTGGTCCCTGCATGATGAGGATAGTGAGGGGAGGTAGCTCGGCCTCCCCTTGGTTCTCAGTTGTCCTTTTCGCCCTCTCCTCTTCTCTGCCCACCACAGAGGCAGCTGGCCAACTATAACTTTGACTTCAGGAGCTGGCCTGTTGACTTCCACTGGGAGGAACCCAGCAGCCGGTGAGGCCCCAGTTATTTTGAGCTTTCCCTTCGTTGGCGCTGTCCCATGTGATCGCCGTACCCCTACCACCCTGTCCTCCCGATTCCATCCCCGCTGAGGTCCTAGGACCTGCCTTCCAGTACCACCTTTTCATCCTCCAGGTCAGAGGTCCAGCCTGCTGCTCCTACCCCATTCCCCTGCTTCTTTCTCTTCCTCAGGAAGGAGTCTCGAGGTGGCCCTTCCCGAAGGGGCGTGGCCCTGCTTCGCCCAGAGCCCCTGCACCGGGGAACAGCAGACACATTCCTCAACCGGGTTAAGAAGCTGCCCTGTCAGATCACCAGGTGGGCAGCCATGAGAGGAGAGGCCAGCTGGAGTGAGGGGTGTGGGCCAAGGCTGTTGGTCTGTGTGCTGCTGTAAAAGAGCTGCCACTTATGGGGCCCAGTGCTGCGTGTTTCATGTGCATCATTGAGGCCCAGACCGCAGGTAGTGAATGAGGAACCAGGATGTTAAGTCAGTTCTGTCTGATGCAAAAGCTCCCCCCCACAGCTACAGGGAGCAGTGGGGTCAAGAGTGGAGAGGAGCCACATCCCTTTACTACTGGAGCTGGTCTAGTTACTTACTGGAGCTGGTCTAGTTACTTACTGGAGCTGGTCTAGTTACTTACTGGAGAAGGTTCTAGTTACTTACTGGAGCTGGTCTAGTTACTTATTAGAGAAGGTTCTAGTTACTTACTGGAGCTGGTCTAATTATTTACTGGAGCTGGTCTAGTTACTTACTGGAGAAGGTTCTAGTTACTTACTGGAGAAGGTTCTAGTTACTTACTGGAGCTGGTCTAGTGCACAGCTGTGCAGGTGTCCTGGCCCCTCTACCCTTTTTAGTTTTCAGCTTGGTCCCACTTCTCTGTTTGTGGACAGCCAGCCTCATTGGATTGTGGAGATTGACATCTGTGAGGGGCAGCTGCCTGGCCTGCCTGCCTGAGAGCACAGGATAAAGCCAGCTGACTCCCAGTGGTGGGCGCTGGTGTCGGAAGGAAGGGCACGGAACACTCATTCTTAGGTGGAGCAGGTGCTGGGAAGTTTTTATTGTGGGGAACAAGCGGTAGGAAATACTAGAATGCTAAGGAAGCGGGTGGACTTAGTGGTTGGCTGGTGACAGTGTAGATTGGCCCAGGGGAAACCAGACTTGGGGTTTCCAGGGGACATTGGACGCGTGGTGCAGTGTTGCCTTGGGAACATGTTCTTCTCCAGGCTTCGCTGGAAGTAGTTCATTGCTCAGGAACAGTACCCGCCTCACACTCCTGTCTGCATTAGCCTGTCATTCAGTAAATACGTGTTGAGCTCCCTGGACACCTCTTGGTGGCAGGTATTGGGCCTGTCACCTTGAACAAAACAGCCAGGTTCCTTCCCTGACAGAGTTTGTGATCTAGTCTCTCAGACTACAGATCTTGAATCCACTGATGAATCTTTTTTCTATTTTTATTTTTTGAGACGTCTCCTGTAGTCTTGGCCAGCCTTGACGTCACCATGTAGCTGAGGCTGACCTTGAACTCCTGATCATTCTGTCTTTACCTCTCAAGTGCTGGGATCACAGGCTTGCATCCCCATGCCTGGCTCCCTTAGTTAACCTTGAAATCACTTCAGTGAATTTTTCATTGTTTTTTTTAGTTTGTTTTGCTTTTATTTTCTCATGGTGTTAGGCCTAGAACCCAGGGTCTTGTATATGATGCCAAGCACAGTATCACTGAGCTACAACCCCAGTCCCCTTTACAAGGAGCGATATGCAAGTAGTCTCCAGTTTACCAAGGTGTGACTTGTTTGTTTTTACTTCTTTGTGGTACAAAAGCAATAGATGTGCCATAGAAACCACACTTTGGATTTTCATTTTTTCCCATGCTAGTGATGTACAGTAGATGATCCTGTGATGCTAGGCAGTGGCCGTGAGCTGCGGCCTGGTCATTCAGGAGTGCCCCTCACTGCACTGTGTGTCTGTGCTATCATGCTCAGTAGGTTAGGCATGTCAGAGGCATGTTTAGCCTCCATTATTTTCAATGTAAGATGGTTTTATTGAGATGTAACCCCTTGGTAAATCAAGAAACAAATATATTCATGTGTGTACTGGACCATGATGTAAGATGTGGGGTTGTTTTTATGATGCTCAAGCTCACAGGGGCTCACACATGCTCACACATGCTAGGCAAGGACTCTGCCACTTACTATGTCCACGTTCCTAACAGATATATTTTTACAAAGCTCACAGTTAAAGAGAAATTTGGGAAACACCAGCCTAGTAGTCACGTGATTTCATCCAGCCCTGAAGGAGGAAAGGGTGAAGCGCCCAGAGCCTGTGGGTGCAGGGCTAAGATCAGAGTCACTGGGCCCCACTGGAGGCAGGGTTCATTAACCCATGTTCCCCACAGCTACCTGGTAGCACACACCCTAGGGCGCCGTATGCTGTACCCAGGCTCCGTGTACCTGCTCCAGAAGGCCCTCATGCCTATGCTGCTGCAGGGCCAGGCCCGACTGGTGGAAGAGGTGAGGTTCCCCACCCCCAGCTGGCCCTAACCCCCAGGGATGTGGCCTCCTACCCCTCATGACTTGGTCTTTGCATCGCTCTTGCTCAGTGTAACGGGCGCCGTGCGAAGCTGCTGGCCTGTGATGGTAACGAGATTGACACCATGTTTGTGGACCGGCGGGGGACAGCTGAGCCCCAGGGACAGAAGCTGGTGAGAAAGGGCAGGGAGCCTAAGGGACAATAGGGGCAGTTGAGGTTCTGGGGGACCCCTGTCCTGTGGAACCTTTCCTTTGGAGCCACAGTAAAGAATAGTGCAATCCCCAGCTCTACCCCCAAGGACCATTTTCTTTTTTCTTCTTTTTTTTTTTGGTCTTTTTGAGACAGGGTCTCCCTGTAGCCCCAGCTGTCCTGGAACTCACTATGTAGACCAGGCTGGCCTTGAACTCAGAGAGATCTGCCTGCCTCTGCCTCCCAAGTGCTGGGACTACAAGCGTGTGCCACCACGCATGGCTCAAGGACCCTTTTCATAAGAAAGAGCTAAGAGAAGGGGAGGGGGGTCTAAATTTGATTAAGAACTGTTGTATGAAATTACAAAAGCTCAATAAGAAATATATTACAAAAAAAAAAAAAAGGGAAAAAATCCCTGCGGGTGGGGGCGGCGCTCTCCTTTAATCCCGCGTGGGTTTGGGGGCGCCCGCCTTTAATCCCAGCCCTGGGGGGGGGGGGCGCAGAGGCAGGTGAATCTCTGTGTGTTCAAGGTCAGCCTGGTCTACATAGTTCCAGGCCAGCTGGGGCTACAGGGAGCACCTGTCTCAAAAAGACAAAAAAAAAAAGAGAAAACAGAGGGAAGTAGACGAAGGAGCACAAGTTGGCTGTGGGATGTAGCTCACTTGTGTAGTGCTTGCCTAGCATGCATGAATCTCTGGGTTCGAGCCCAAGCACCACATAAACTGAGCATCATGGTGCATGCCTGTAATCCCAGCACTCAGGAGTAGAGGCAGGAGGAGCCAAAGTTCAAGGTTGGGGCTGAGGAGATAGCTCAGTCGGTAAACAACAGAGACCCTGTCTCAAACAAGGGTGGAAGAGGAGGCTGTCCTCTGACCTCCACACACGTGTCATGGCACAGGCATCTGCAGCAACCCTGAGATACCTGAGACCCTGTCTCAAAAAAGGAAGTAAAAGTTAGCATTCAAGGAGCAAAGCAGCTGGGATGGTAGCGCTTACCTAGTAATCTGCAAGGCCCTGAGTTCTGTCCCCAAAACAGGAAGAGGAAGAAAAGGTTGGTAAGCCAGGGATGTACCTCAGTAGTGGGCCTATGCACAAAGCCTGCTTTCCAGCACCATATAAAACAGGCATGGTATGCTGGGCATGGCAAGTGGATCTCTGTGAGTTTGAGGCCAGCCTGATCTACATAGTGAGTTCTAGGCCAGCTGAGGCTACAGGGAAACCCTGTCTCAAAAAAGACCAAAAAAAAAAAAAAAAAAAACCCCATAAAAAAAACAGGCCTGGTATATGCCTGTAATCCCAGCATTTGGGAGGTGCAGGCAGGAGGGGGCTGAAGTTTAAGGCCATCCTGTGTCAAATAATGAGTTAAAGGTATGCCTGGGATACACGAGACCCTGTTCCAAAACAAAATAACCAGCCATAGTGACACATGCCTGTAATCCCAGCACTGGAGGTGGGTCTCTGTGAGATCAAGGCCAGATTGGTTTGCATAGTGAGTTTCAGGTCACCTGTAGCTACAGGGAGACCCTGTATCAAAAAACAATAACAAAAAACATAATAGGTTGGCATGATGGCACAGGCCTCTAATTTGAGCACTCAGAAGGCTGAGATATGACTGAACTCCAGGCCAGCCTGAGTTATGTAGCAAGATCCTGACTCAAAAAATAATAGTCATCACTTAGCATTTGCCACTTAGAAGACATATTTAGTCCTCACAATAATCCTATGAGGTAGGTATTGTTTATAGGAGTCCATTTTACAGATGATGAAACTGAGGTACAGAGTAACTACCCCAGTTAGCAAGTCCAAGCACTAGAATGTGGATCCAAGCAGCCTAGTTCCAGTCTCCTGCATCCATGAAGCAGCCCTGGAGAGAGCACTGAGCAGGAGTCGAGGGGGCTGGGTGCAGGGCTGGCTCTGCCACCAGTCCTGGGCTTCAGCTTGGGGCACCATGGAGCAGAGTGAGGGGGAGGGAAAGCAGTCAGCATACCCAGGGCAGAAAGTCACAGGTCCAAAACTAGAACAAAAAAATACGGGCTGGGGGAGGAGCTCCTGGTAGAGCGTGCGCTCAGCATGCCTGAGCACCTTGATTCCATCCCCAGCCACCCCCCTTGGCCACCCCATCATCCCATTCTGAGAGCTGTCCACCTGCTGGCATCCTGGGGAAATAGATGCTGCAGGTGGCCGAGGGCTCCTCCAAGGCTCCATTTGCAGAGCGCTTGTGGTCACTTTGCCTTTCGTATAGGCTTGTGGGAAGAGCAGTGTCTCTTCCCCTTGGAGAAAATGGGGAGTCCTCTTCCTTTCTATGATGCCTCTCTGTCTGCCCACCCTCCCTGCATGGGCTTTGGGTCCTCCTCAGCATCCTCCCAGCCCTTCCCTGCTTCCTCCCTAGGTGATCTGCTGTGAGGGCAATGCAGGGTTCTATGAGGTGGGCTGTGTCTCCACACCCCTGGAAGGTAGGTCTGTGGTTCATACCTCTATCTCTGTCCCTTGAACGGGAATGTCCCCACCTCCTGAGCTGCTGTGACCTCTCTAGGCCTGACCTCTACTTCAGGGTGAGGTCTGAGTCTCTCACCTCTAGGGAGAGTCCACTTTATTACACTTGCCACCCTGTCCCACCTTGCCCCACCCCACACAGTCACACATCCCTCCATGAGGTTTCAGCCCCTCCCCGCTATGTTGCAGCTGGATATTCCGTCCTGGGCTGGAACCATCCAGGCTTTGCTGGAAGCACGGTGAGACCCTCTCTGGAATCCCCTTTTCCAGAATCGTGTCTGTCTCCCTCTGGTCAGCCATAAGAGGAAGGAAATGGGCCCGTTTCTGCCTTCCACTGGAACCTGGTTGCTGAGGACTGGGAGCTTGAGAGCGCCACGGGAGCTGCAGGGAGCTGGCAGAGGGAGGCAGCTGGTTACAGCATCTCTGTTACAGGGTGGCTGCAGAAAGGGCCCGTGCTAGGGTAGGTGACAGGTGAGCTGGCCCCTGGATGACCCCCTCCTGCCTCTGCCCCTCTTCCTGCAGGGGGTACCATTCCCACAAAATGAGGCCAATGCCATGGATGTGGTGGTCCAGTTTGCCATCCACCGCTTGGGCTTCCAGCCCCAGGACATAGTCATCTACGCCTGGTCCATCGGAGGCTTCACTGGTACCCGCCCCCCGCCACTCCCCTCTCTATATAGATTCATGCCCCTGCCCAGGAGAGAATGTGGGCATAGGCAGTGGAGGCCACCAGAGTAGGAGGTCGGGAGTGGACGCTAAGGGGTCTGCACGAAGTCTCGTTTGCATACATGCTGCCTCCTCTCACCCTAGCACTGAGAAGCAGACCAGGGTGGGGAGGGCTGTTTTCTTGCACTTCTTGTGGTCCTGTGCCCTCTCTGAATGGGGCTCTGCCCTAGGGAAGGGAATTTAGGAGGGACCTGCAGATAGGGAGGGAGGATGGGATGAGAGTACCGAGGTGGGTAAGAGCCCTCTCAGTCCTCATCCTCTTCCTTGTCCTGCTCCAGCCACGTGGGCGGCCATGTCCTACCCAGACATCAGTGCCGTCATCCTGGATGCCTCCTTCGATGACCTGGTGCCTTTGGCCTTGAAGGTCATGCCAGACAGTTGGAGTGAGTGCAGCTCCCAGGCCTGTCCTTCCTGGGAGGGGGTGGCTGATACTGGGGGCAGCTGTCTGGGGCTTCCCATTCCTGTGGTGGAGCTAGGCCACCCCATTACTGAGCAGCAGGGCCCCCCTCCGACCCCCTGTCCAGTGATCTTAGGACTTGTCTGTGGACAGTGGGGATCTTTGTGTTGGGCAGGGCCTTGGTCTCTGCAACCTTGCACTGTACCCCAACTCTAGGGGCCCTGGTAACCAGGACGGTGAGGCAGCATCTCAACCTCAACAACTCAGAGCAGCTGTGCAGGTGAGGGCAGGCCAGCAGCCGGTGACCGGCTTCTCTTCCCTGCCTACTCCAGACTCCGCAGAGTGTTCAGATGCTGATGTTAAACTAAAGGGAAAGGTGGTGGGTGAGTGGCCACTGGCCTATATCCCCCAAGTGAGCCTGCCAACACCCTAGCTGGCCCAACCCTTCCCAGGTCCCCTGAGATGCTGGGTCTGCTCATGACCTGACAGTGAAGGGTTAAGCTTGGCACAGCCAGGGGCTTCTGCAGGGCCAGAGTGAGCAAGTCCTATTCTTAAATCTGACTGTCACTCCCATAAAGGGCTAGCCCAGGTGCCCCTGTAGCAGGAGTTAAGAATGTACCAGTGGGGGCTGGAGAGATGGCTCACCGGTTAAGAGCACTGACTGCTCTTGCGGAGGACCTGGGTTTGGTTCCCAGCACCCACATGGTGGCTACAAACCGTCCTTAACTCCAGTTCCAGGGGGATCTAAAGCCCTCTTCTGACTTCCATGGCATTGCACAACAGCACTCATACACATAAAATCAAAATAATAAATATTTTTTAAAAAAGAGGCCGGGCGTCGTGGTTCATGCCTTTAATCCCAGCACTCGGGAGGCAGTGGCAGGCAGATCTCTGTGAGTTCGAGGCCAGCCTGGTCTCCATGGTGAATCCAGGACAGCTGGGGCTCCAGGGAGACCCTGTCTCAAAAAGACCAAAAAAAAAAAAAAAAGAGAATGTACCAGTGCAGGTGTAGGCCAGTTTTCACCTGCTTGCTAAGCTCTCCCTCTCTGCTGCTGTTCTGAAGGTTCCAGGGCCCTGTGCTGCTGATCCGGAGAACCAAGGATGAGATCATCACCACCACGTGAGCAACCTAGGCTCTGCCCTACAAACCCCGCAGGGGCTAGAAGTTGCCTCTCCCTCGGCCCACCAGGAACCCAGGTTTCCAGACCCTTCCTCTCCACACCCCCATGGTAACTTCTCGCCCCCAGGGTTCCTGAGGACATCATGTCTAACCGAGGCAATGACCTCCTGCTGAAACTTCTGCAGTTCCGGTGAGAGCTGGGACTGGACACTGCTCAGTGCCGCAGGGCCCAGGAGGGAGGTGGTGAGGCTGAGGGGTGAAGTGGTTTTGTTCTGTCCCCACGCTGCTCTGTAGGTATCCTCGTGTGATGGCGGAGGAGGGAGTCAGAGCTGTGAGGCAGTGGCTGGAGGCCTCCTCTCAGCTGGAGGAAGGTAGGCATGTGGAGGCCGGGGGCAGGGCCTGGCAGGTGGGCTTGCTGACCCTCCTCTTTCTCCCTGACCAGCCTCGATTTACAGCCGGTGGGAGGTAGAGGAGGACTGGTGTCTGTCTGTTCTTCGCTCCTACCAGACAGAACATGGGCCTGACTTCCCCTGGAGTGTGGGTAAGGAAGGCCTGGCAAGGAGGGGTACTAGGAGCCAGGGAGGGTGGAAGCCCACCAGAGGATTTGAGTGCCTCCTCTCTGCAGGGGAGGACATGAGTGCAGATGGGCGGCGGCAGCTGGCACTCTTTCTGGTGAGCTCAGGAGTGGGAAGAGGGAGGCCTGAATGGAGGGGACCTTACACAGGGCAGGGGTGGTGGGTTCAGGGAGGGGAGGCTGTCCACAGCTCCCACTCACCACAGTTCTCTGTGCCTACCCTCCCTGCCCCCTCTCCTCAGGCCCGGAAGCATCTGCACAACTTTGAGGCCACACACTGCACCCCGCTCCCAGCCCAGAACTTCCAGATGCCCTGGCACCTCTAGAGACTTGGTTGGGACTCAATTCTGGAAGGACAGGATGGAAGGAGACGTGGGGACACTTGTCTATATTCATGTTGCTGTTTATGGTCTGTGGACAGTGGGGCCATCCCCTCACCACTGCTCCTGCACATCCCGCATCTATGTGGCAGCACTTAACTCCCCGACACACCTGCATTAAATGAATGATTTATTCCTAATAATAAAAAGGTATTTTTTCTATGCTCTGGCTAATTGTGTACTTCCCAAGTGTCTAGGCAGCTAGACTAGTGTGGTAGGGAGAGCAGAGGCCCCAAAGCATGAGGCTTTGGAAACCCCAACTCTGCAGTTTAACCCTTCTGTGTGCCCCAGCCGTCCTCATGCAGAGAGGGCCTGGACGTGGGGTGGGGATTGCCCCTCTTGCTTAACTTTTTGGTTTTTTGTTTGTTTTTGGGATTTTTCTGTTTTGGGTTTTTTGTTTGTTTGTTTTTGGTCTTTTTGAGACAGGGTCTCCCTGTAGCCCCAGCTGGCCTGGAACTCACTATGTAGACCAGGCTGACCTTGAACTCACAGAGATCCGCCTGCCTCTGCCTCCCGAGTGCTGGGACTAAAGGTGTGCGCCACCATGCCCAGCTTGTTTTGTTTTGTTTTGAGACAGGGTCTCCCTGCAACCCCAGCTGTCCTGGAACTGGCCATGTATACCAGGTTGGCCTCCATTTTATAGAGATCTGCCTCTGCTGGGATTAAAGGTGCGTGCCGCCACCACCCCTGGCTTACTTATGACTTGTTCTCTAAGCACTTTCCAGTATTGGGTTCACCTTCCCAGTTTGTGTCCTGATTGCTAGATCCAGTGCCCCCAGTTTTCCTTGCTTAGCTCCAGTTACACACACACCCCTAGCAGGGAGTGGTGGTTCCCAGGCCTGCAGCAAACCCTATGCCCCTCCTTGCCTGGCCACCAAGTCTGTGTCCTCACACACCCTGTTTGCAATTCATCAAACAAAGGGCCAGCCAGCACTGAGGGCAAGTTGCCAAGGACTCCCATCCTCCTGGACTGAACCTGAGGAAATTGGTTCCCCATAACTAGTACTTCTGATCCCTTAGACCATGGAACCTAGTGAGCCCCCCCACACCACCTTCCTTTGGAAACCCCTTTTGGATGGAACAGTCCACCTCTACCATCTAGGGCTCATGTTTTGAACAGTATGTTTAACAAGGGCAACAATGTTCTGCTGTGCTAGTTACAATCTCTGACTGATTACTGTGTCACCTCCAACCCCAGTGTACCACCCTCTAACCCTGGGGCGGAGGTACAGGAGGCAGACTGCAGGAAATGTGGGGCAAGACCTACCCACTCTTCTCCTACTCTGGACTGCTCACTGCAAGCTTACCTCCCTGAACTGCTCAGCTAAGGGAACCTCCAGTCCCATCTCCCATACCTTGGACTCATGAATGCCTGCTCCTAGACACCAGGGACTCTGCCACTCCCCACATTCCCTCACATACTGTAGGGAACAGTGGATGCCAGGATGAATCCTTAGATACTTAAAGTGGATGGAGAGAGCATGATGTACCATGTAGCTTCTGGTCCACCCTATTCAGGCTCAGTCTACTCCAGATGACTCCACATCCCCAACCTGAGGGTGGGGACCAGTTCCCTGTACACTTTTCTCTATATCAGACCTGCAGCAGGCTCAGGCAAAGTCGGCTGAGATGCCTCACCCCACAGCTGTTAGGGCTCTGAGTGAGCCCTGTTATTTGGGGCATTAGGTGAGGCCTGACACTCAAGCATCTGGGGAGCTGGCCCCATGGAGAGGAGGAAGGCCTCTCGAAGGATGGAACCCCGAAAGAAAACTGGAACAAGGGGCGGGTCCTTGGATCCTGGACTGGACCATGCCTTATCTCACCTTATTCTCACTGACCAGGGCGTAGTCCTGCACGGCCCCAGGGTGAGGTCTGGGCTACATGTTTGGGTTGAAGGTTTGTTCCACATCCCAGAAAGTGGCATTTGCTTCCTGTGCTGGATAGCTTTAGTGTCAACTTGACACACCTGGGTTGAGGGAGCCTCAATCGGGGAATTGCCTCTATTGGACTGGCCTGTGGCCATGTCTGAAGGGCATCTTCTTGATGAGTGATGTGGGAGGGCCCAGGCCACTGTAGGTGGTGCCACCCCTGGGCAGGTGGACCTGTGTTGCATAAGAAAGCAGGCTGAGCAGGAGCCAAAAGAGCAAGCCTGTAAGCAGCGTTCCTCCATGGCCTGTGCTCCAGCTCCTGCCTCCAGGTTCCTGCCCTGAGTTGGGCTCCTGGATGAACTGTGACCTGGGAGATGTAAGATAAATAAACCCTTTCCTCCCCAAGTTGGTACTGGTCAGAGTGTTTTGTCACAGCAATGGAGAAACAAACTAAGACACTTCCCCTCCAGCTGTCACAAATAAGAGAGGGCTCCAGGCATGAAGGGTCTGAGGGTGGCTCCCTCAGAAACCTAGTCATGAACATTCAGCCTAGACTCTCATCCTTTCCAGACTGACTTCCTGAACAGAAATGGGCTCTTGTAGGGGCATCATTATAGCCCCGCCCATGGTTTACCTTTGCCCTAGTCCTCAGTTCAGTCTTTGGACTCCCCGCTCTGTTTCATCACTAGGGAGTTTACCTCTAGGTATCCCTGGTCACAAGAGTCATCATCCATCATCCGCTGCTGTCACCATGGTGACTGTTCCGAAGTCCTATCTTTTTACCTTAGAAAAGCGTCCATGGAAGCCGTTGTCATAGAAACAAACTATCTGGGCCCTGGGTGTTCGCTGGCCACCTCCTACAGCCAAGAATGGGAGATACAAGGGCAGGATAAATAGCTCTGAAAAAGACCCCGGCAGTGGCCCAGTGCTCCTCGAAATCCTCCCTGGGTGGCCCCTACACCCAGTTTGTCCCAGGGCTCACTGGGGCTGAACTCCAGGGCGACCCTTTCCCCTCCCCATCTGAGCTCAGCCCCACTGAGTTTCTCGGCCTTTCCCTTGTGCTCTGCATCTGAGAGCAAGGCTCAGAGCATCCCTTCTGCCTCCTCCGTGCCCTCCCCCCTTCCAGAAGGCCTCGTTCTCTGATTTGTGTCTATCCCTGTGTGTTTCATTCAAGACAGACATTTACTATCTGTGGGTGCAAGGCACTCCCCCAGTTCCCCACAACTTTCCTGTAACACAGTAAGAGCTTAAGAAAATTTCTTTTTGGGCTGGAGAGATGACCCAGAGGTTAAGAGCACTGACTGCTCTTGGAGAGAGCCCAGGTTCGATTCCCAGCACCCACATGGCAGATAACAACCATCTGTAACTCCAGTTCCAGAGGATCTGACACCCTCTTCTGACCTCCATGGGCAGTACACCACACTTACATGCATGCAGGCAAAAAGCTCATACACATAAAAATAATAAGGCTGGACATGGTGGTGCAGCCTTTAATCCCAGCACTTGGGAGGCAGAGGCAGGTGGACCGTTGTGAGATGGAGGCCAGCCTGGTCTACATAGTGAGTTCCAGGACAACTGGAGCTACAGGGAGACCCTGTCTCAAAAAGACAAAATAATAATAATAATAATAAATATTAAAGAAGAAAGTTTGTTTCATTCCAATACTGGAGTGAGTTTGGTGCACGCACTAATTCTCCCACATCAGCTTTCAGGGCTTTGGGTCGGTTTCCCCTGTCTTTCACCCTCAACACTGCGATCTGATGATTCTTGGGAAGTCCAGGCAGTAGGGGGACCCTAGCTGCAGGGCCCAGCCCCAAACCTGAACCTGCAGACAGGACACAGGTGGTGTCCTTCCTGGATGCAGGAGCTCCATGTAGCTCAAAGAAAAAATCTCAAGGTTTGCAATTTATCCTGCGCCAAGCGACAAGGTGGTCAAGTCCTGGGTGGAGGACCTGGAATCTTCATCGATCACTGAGGTCTGCAGGAATGGAGGTACTACACTGTCACTGTCCATAAAAATGGGGGTCACTCAGTGCCCATGTGGCCCCTCCCCTCCCCACCCCCCTCCCAGTGCAGGCGCAGTCAGGCATGGAGAGGGGACACACCGCACTGAGTCTGTGGGTGTGATCAGACCCACTGACCTGCAGCTGAGCTAGGTGGGCAGGAAAGGTTGTGGAAGAATTGGATCTTTTATATATATATATTTTTTTTTTTTTTTTAAATTTTATGTGTATCAGTGTACTGTCTGCATGTATGTAAGTGCACCCAAGTCATGCAATGCCTACAGAGGTCAGAAGAGGGTATTGGATCCCCTGGAACTGGAGTTATGGAGATTGTTAGCTGCTATGTCAGTGCTGGGAATTGAACGTGGTCCTCTGCAAGAGCAGTCAGTGCTCTTAACCGCTGAGCCATCTCTCCGGCCCTGAGAATTGGATCTTCAAGCCAGCAGTCACATCTGTGTTCAAAGCTTCCCCTCTTGCTTCACCCCACATTCTGACCTGTAATCTGTCTTCTAAACCTACTGTAAAACTGGCCGTAGTGGTGTACACCTGTAATCCCAGTACTAGGGAGACTGGGGCAGGAGGATCACTAGTTCCAGACAGCCTGGTCTACCCAGAGAGTTCCAGATCAGGCAGGGTGATGTAGGGAAAGCGGGTCTCAGAAAACAAAAACTTTGTGAACACTGTTTAGCTCAGTTCACTCACACTCGGCATCCTTACTAGTCTCTTGTGTGCGCCCACGCCGCCATCTTTTGACTGAACACAGGAATAGTGTCCTATTCTGGCCTTCGCCCTGTACTGAGGATTGAACCTAGAACCTAGGAGCATGCTGGGGAAGTACTCTGACCCTGAAGTATGTCTCCACACTCCCCCCCCCCAACACTCCATTGTCGTTGTTTGGCTGGTGGGGGAGGAGGGTTGTTTTTGTTTCCTGTTTTGAAACTGGTTCACCTAAGTTACTCAGGCTGATCTTGAACTCACTCTATAGCCTAAGCAATTCTTGTTGACTGTTTTGTTTTTGCTTTTGCTTTTTTTGAGACGGGGTCTCCCTGTAGCTCCCACTGACCTGGAACTTGCTATGTAGACCAGGCTGGATTCCATCTCAGATCCGCCTGCCTCTGCCTCCTGAGTACGTGCTGGTCTGCCTAGGCAGTTCTTGAACTTGCAATCCTCCTGCCTGAGCTTGCACTCTTAACCCACTTGCCTTCCAATGTGTAACAACAGCAATATTTTACAAGAAATCTGATCATATTACCTGATTTCCTCTGGCTCTTGGTTTCCACTGTTCAGGCGCTCCCCGTGCTCCCCCCCAATTCCCCGTGCCACACTCAGCCCTCCACACCGTTGTTGTAGGCTTGTAGCTCCAATGCCGAATGGTGTGAGCCAATAAACATTTGCTGAATGAATAGTATAATGGTTAGTTTTAATTGTCAACTTAGCACAATCCAGAATCACCTGGGAAGAGTCTCAATGGGCCACGATCTTGAGTACATTAATTGAAGTTAGACGATCTGCTCACTGTGGTGGACACAATTTCCTAGGAAGGGGATTCTGAACTGTTTAAGAGAGGAGAAAGTTGGAGCTGGAGATGTGGCTCAGCAGTTAAGAGCACTGGCTGCTCTTGCAGAGGACCCAGGTTTGGTTCCCAGCACCCACATGATGGCTAAGAACCATCCATAACTCCAGTTCCAGGGGATCCAAGGCTCTCTTCTAACCTCTGTGGGCACTGCGTGACACGGGTGCACTTATGTGCATGCAGGCAATACACTCATACACCTAAAATAAAAATAATTTAAAAAAAAAAAAAAAAAAGAGTAGAGAAGTGATGACTCAGCAGTTCAGCATGCTTGCTGTTAAATCATGAGGACCTGGGTTGGAATCCCAGCATCCACATGGGGCAGCTCACAAACACCTATACCTCCAGCTGCAAGAAATCAGTCCAATGCCCACTTCTGGCCTCCTTGGGCACACACATATGCATACAAACATACAGATACAGCAGCACACACATAAGTAAATACTGAAGGGAAGGCATGGTGGCCTTTTTTTACAAAAACAATTTTACCAAATATTTTTATTATTTTTATTTTATGTATATGAGTTTGCATGTATGTAAGCGTACCTGTGTCATGCAATGCCTGCAGAGGTCAGAATAGGGTGTTGGATTCCCTGGAACTGGAGTTAGGACAGTTCTTAGTCACCATGTGTGGATACTAGGAATCAAACCCAGGCCCTCTGCAAGAGCACCACTGCTCTTAACTGCTGAGCCATCTCTCCCAGCATGGTGGCCTTTAATTTCAACACTCAGAAGGCAGACCCTGGTGCATCTATGAGAACTTCAAGAAATCTTGGCTGTTGGTCAATTTCAATTTCAAAGCTCCTGGTCAAACCAGTCTGGTCTACAGCTACATAGTGAGACCTTGTCTTCAAATCAATCAGTCTTGAAACCAAAAAGAGTAGGCCAAGTCAATTGAGCAGGGGGGATTACTTTGTTGCTTTCTGCCCTTCTCTGTGGTTGTAATGAGACCAGTTCTCTCAAGCAAGTGCTTGTTGCTAGGTCTTCCCGGCTAGGATGGACTGGAACTTGGAATTGTGAGTTAAAACAAGCCCCTTCTTCCCGAGTTGCTTTTGTTGGACTGTATTTATCACAGCCTCAGGGAAGGAAGCTAAAGTAAATACTTCTCTTTCCTCTGGGTTCCTGTCCCAAGCCAGGATGTTCAGGCCCAGAGAGGCTGTGGGTTGAGGACACGCTGAACTGGCTGTTCTGGCACTGATTCCTACCTGTAATGTGTTGCCTCTCTCCTTCCTCTTGGCTAGCCTCTCTTCTACAAATATAAGCCCAAGCCTGAGGCTGGAGGGCAGTCATGCATTTCATGGTAGGCCCTGCAGCAAGCCGGGGTCTGAAGGCCCTAGGCCTCCACAGCACCTCCCAGACCCTGTACACTGTCTTCTTACTAGTACTGGTCCTGCTGAGCCTGGTTCTTGGTAAGTGGCTCCAAAGGTCAGAAGGGTCTCCAGGCAGACTGGGTAGAGAAACTCAGGCATCAGGTATGTCTGCCTAGGATGCTCAGGTGAAGCTGGGAGCAGGCAGGTGTGTGGGAGTGTGTGGGGACGGATGATGGATGTATGGTCACCCTGGGGGACAGTTCTAGAGGCCACCCCCTGCTGTCTCACTGAGCAGTGACCTGGAGATACTGAAGGAATCTTTTCCAAATCCAAGGACGACACAGAGTAGGGCGGGGTTGGAATGATAGAACTAGAATCCAGAAGGAGATTGTGAATTCAGTACACTAACCTCACTCGGTAGTAAAGCAGCATCTACAGTCTTTAGCATGTGTCACTGCTGTAGCCAAGGATCAGGAGATGGATATGCATGTCATTAGCGAGGAAATTAGAGACTGGGGCTTTGGAGTAACTAGAGATGATTCATCAGTTACGTCAGTTCCTGGCACCCAGGTTGGGTAGCTCACAACTGCCTATAACTCCAGCTCTTGTTGGGGAGGGGGAATCTGACACATCCCACCTCCACAGGCACCTGCACTCACATGCATGTACACACACACACACACACACACACACACACACACATTAAATTAAAATTAATCTTTAAAAGAGAATGTGTCCAGGCTATAGTTACCAAAGTAAAGTATGAAGCACAAGCTGTTCGCGGCTTCCTGTCTACAGGACACAGAGACTCTGATTGTCCTCTGATGGACTCTTGTTTTCACTTCTGAACACTATGTATTAAAAAATCAGGCTGGGCGTGGTGGCACACGCCTTTGATCCCAGCACTCAGGAGGCAGAGGCAGGCAGATCTCTGTGAGTTCAAGGCCAGCCTGGTCTACATAGTGAGTTCCAGGACAGCTGGGGCTACAGGGAGACCCTGTCTCAAAAAGACCAGAAAAAACATAAAATATTTCTTATTTGGGAACTGGAAAGATAGCTCAGCAGTTAAAAGCACTGGCTGCTCTTGCAGAGGACCAGGGTTCAATTCTCAGCACCCACATTGCAGATAACAACTGTCAGTAACTCCAGTTCCAGGGGATCCGACAGCCTCTTCCATCCTCTGCAGTCATTGCACGACACGGGTGCACTTACCTACATGCAGGCCATACACTCATACACATAAAATAAAAATAATAAATAAATATTAAAAAAAATATCAGTGGTGTCCATCCCAGCTCTTGGGGCACTGAGGCAGGAGAAAGAGGAGCTGGAGCCCAGTCAGGGTCATATTAGTGAGACCCTTTCCTTTTTTTGTCTTTTTGAGACAGGGTCTCCCTGTAGCCCAGCTGTCCTGGAACTCACTATGTAGACCAGGCTGGCCTTGAACTCACAGAGATTGGCCTGGGTGCTGAGACTAAAGGCATGCACCACCATGCCTGGCTTAGTGAGACCTTTTTAAAAAATATTTTATTATTTCTATTTTATGTCTATGAGTGTTTCACCTGCATGTATGTAAGTGCGCCACATGTGTACAATGCCAAAAGTAAGTGTTGGATCCCTGCAACTGGAGTTACAGATGGTTTGTTAGCTGCCATGTGGGTCCTCTGGAAGAACAACTAGTGTTCTTAATTGCTAAGCCATCTCTCCAGTCCCTGGTTCTGTGGTTTTTTAAAAGCATGTTCAAAAGAGGAAGGACTGCTTTACAGGCGACCTCAGCTTCGCCTGAGAATTAAAAAATATGTATTTTATTTATCTTTACTTTTCGTGTGTGTTGCCCACGTGTATGTAAGTGCACCTGTGTCGTGCAATGCCTAGTACAGAGGTCCAGATAAGGCATCAGATCCCCCTGGAACTGGAATCATAGATGGTTGTTAGCCACCATATGGGTGCTGGGAACCAAACTCAGGTCCTCTGCAAAAGCAGTCAGTGCTCTTAACCCTCACCTGAGAATTTAAAGGCTTACTGAGTGCTGGGTACATGTTAGCCCTTCAATACATGCTGAAGGAATGAAATCCTCATCTCTGGAGGTACAAGAACAGAGAATGAGGGCTGGAGAGATGGCTCAGTGGTTAAGAGCACTGGCTGCTCTTGCAGAGGACCAGGGTTCAATTCCCAGCACCCACATGGCGGCTGACAACCTTCTGTAATTCCAGTTCCAGGAATCTACATCCTCTTCTGATCTCCTCAGGCACTGCGTGACACAGGTGCACTTATATGTATACACGCAGGCAATACACTCATACACATAAAAATTCTATAAAAAATATAAAAAAGAACAGAGAATGGAGGCTTTTGGTTTTTTTTGTTTGTCGTTTTGTTTTTTTTTTTTTTGATGTTTCTGTAGCTCCAGCTGGCCTGGAACTCACTATGTAGACCACCATGCCCAGCTGAGAATGAAGCTTATTATTATTATTATTTTTTTTGGTCTTTTTGAGACAGGGTCTCCCTATAGCCCCAGCTGTCCTGGAACTCACTATGTAGACCAGGCTGGCCTTGAACAGAGATCCTGAGATCTGCTGCCTCCCAAGTGCTGGGATTAAAGGCCTGCGCCACCACTGTCTGTTAAGACAACTTTCAGGAATCAGGGGATTTGGACTAGGTGTGGTGGTATACACCTTTAATCCCAGAACTCAGGAGCCAGAAGCAGGTAGGTGGATCCCTGTGAGATTGAGACCAGTCTTGTCTACATAGAGTTCTAGGCCTGCTGGGGCTATGGGGAAACCTTGTCTCCAAACAACAAAAGAATCAGTGATTTTATGGTTTATGGGGAAGGAACAGTGGGGTTGATGAGCCAGGAATCAGGCAGGTGGGACTTCAGGTCATTGCTTCTCTGTGATCTAGGTAAGATCATTTCTGCTGAGCGCCCTCCTCAGCCACTTGTACTGCCCAAGTACCTGCACTGCTATCGATGTCTCTTGGAGACCAAGGAGCTGGGGTGCCTTCTGGGATCCGACATCTGCCTCACATCAGCAGGCAGCAGCTGCATCACTCTGCACATAAAGAACAGTAAGCTCTGGGCCAGCCCCTCCCAAATGACCCCTTCCCAGTTTCCTAAGCTTCGTCCCACATCCTGTTCCCACAGTCCTAAGACATTGTTCAGTCACTTCCCTTCAGGGCCTCCACCTGTCCCCATTCCCACCTGTCTCTGCTCCCACTTGCGCCCCCCCCCCCGCAATGTCCCCCTCTGAAGAGGACCCTGGGCTCTCCAGAGGCACTGCTCAGGCTGCCTGCTCCCCAGCGGGCCTATTGCTGTCAGTGACAACTCTGGAATTCCCACTGCCCTTCACCCAGTCTTGCTGACCCTTTAAGGTTCATGTTCAGTGAGGTATTTGGTCCTTTGCTGTCTTCTCATTGTAACGATCTCCAATCGCCACCGAAGGACTTTATTTGCTGCCTGGGCTTTGCTGAGCAGCCACAGACTGCTTCTTCCTGGGTCTTGAGGTTTCCCTGAACTGTTCTTTTATTTTATATTTTATTTAATTTTTTTAAATTTTGTTTTACTGTTTTATTTTATTTTGGGTCTCCCTGTAGCCCCAGCTGGTCTGGAACTTTCTTTCTTTCTTTCTTTCTTTCTTTCTTTCTTTCTTTCTTTCTTTC